AAATGAGCATTAAGTCTTTTTTTTTTTTTTTTTTTTTAGTAGATGCAAGGGAGAAAGATCTGGCAATCTGCTCCTGTAAAGATTATAGTCAAGAAAACCCTATGGGACAGTTCTTCTTTGTCATATGAGGTGGCTGTGATAGCACCCAACAACGTGCATGATTGTAGACCTTGAGACTGAAGTATCTCATAATCAGATCTTGTTCTTATTTCAAGTGGTGGATTCAAGGGTGTTTTTTAAAAATACAAAATTAAGGATTGAATTAATTCAATAAAAGAGTTTCCTTTTCCTTCTTTCTGGATTCAGTAGTAACAAGTAACATAACCTAAAGTTTAAGATTGGTCTAAACCCACTCACCCACATTGATTAATACGTTAGCAAAAATCAAAATCTTGAATATTTTATTCTTTTTAACTTTTACCCTCTACTCCCCAGAACAGGTGCTCTTTGATGAAGATCTTGGCTCATACATCTCTGGGTAAGTAGCCTATAGACCCATGTAAACAATACCCAAAGTTCTTGTTCTTGGGTTGATGATTTGTTCGTGGGTGTTAATTATATTTTTTTAAATGCCCAAAATTAATGGAAAGAATTTGAATGTGCTGTACAGCAAAAATTAATCAAATCAGCAAGTACACTGTGGAATTCTATAACTTTTAATATCATTTGGGACATTTATTATTAATACATAAATAAATGGGGCATGTCATCTCTTGGGGTAAAAGTCATATGGACAGAATCATAATAGTCAGTGTTACTGCTCTAGGTTAGTGGTGAGCTCCAGTTTGTTTCTTTTATTAAGTGAAACAGAAATCACTAATTTTGTGAACAAATCAATACCCAAATAACTAAGTAAATTAAAGGGGGAAAGCTTGAATCTATGGAGTGAATTTCTCTCTTTTTTTTTGCCAAACCTTTATGGTTGTCTGTATGTGTTAGGAGCATAGTGTTCAATATGAGTAATAGCCAGAGTTGTTGTTTTTGTTGGGGTGGTCTGTTTAGGATTTTCACTGTATTATCAAAAAATATGGAATATAATCAAAGAAGGCCTTACAAGGACCAAGGATGTGATTCTGGTATAAACCAAGGTTTATGATTATTCTAAATCAGCCCAACAGAAGCCCTTCAAAAAAGAGTCTAAGCCACTAGCTCTGTGTGTAATGGGCATAGAGTCAGATGTGTTTAACACTCATAGTTCCTTTACTTTAGGTTGGGTTGTGCACTCAGGGGTGTTCATGGTATTATTAAAATTGGTAAGTGACTACATTAATTCATAAAATGTTCTTGGGTTGATTGATTGTGTTTTCCTTATTTTTATTTTATTAAAAATAATAATTAAGCAAATAAAAATTAAATATGCTAGGGTGCTAGTAAAATTACAGTAGCTACTCATGACAAATGAGATTGTGTTATGAAACAAGAATGTAACTAGGGTACACCATTTTACCACTTTGTTTAAGAAGTGCATGGAGAGATTTAAAGAAGAGTCAATTTTTTTCTCTTATTTTGTAGTAGATTCTTTGTTATTGATTTTATTTTTGAGAATGAGTAACCGACTAAATTAATAAATAAGGAAAACATACATCTTTAAAGAAAGTTAATATGACCAAGAATATTCCAGTGACAAAATTTCATGAAGCAAGAATTGTTATCAACCCAGTTCTGCTTTTCTGAATTCCGTTTAATCAATAAGATTGAATGTGATCTTTGCGTTAATGAAGGCAGAGACAGGTGTTAAGATACATAGTGCTGTGTTTTTGTGTTTTGGTGAGTTCGTGATGGTGTTGCTCTTATTATTTAGTAAATCAGTCTATCAAAAACGAAATTAGAAGCTGGCCAATCATGGACCAGTGATGAAAATGAGCTTTGAGGCAAGTATTGTGATTATTCCAATTTTGCAACACTGTAAATATTATAAATATTTTAATCTCTTACTTAAAATATTAAATAAAATTAATTATGAAATAAAATATTAATTTTATATATCTTTTGTCTTAATAATATATAGTATGTAGAACTATTCTGCATGTACTACGAAAATATTTTGGACATTTTTACATGCCACTTACATAGATTGGAGGCGATGTCAAATAAATACCTCATATTTTTAATTTTCTGGCACTTTGTCTTGAGAGAGTGCTAAAATAACTGGAATTGAGGTATAGATTTTAGCTCAACAAATATTTATTGACCCTAATCTGTGCCAGGCCCTGTATTAGGCATGGCATTCATATATGAATCAGATCTATTTCCAGCCATCAAGGAGCTCTTTGGGATTATGTGGAGACCTTTCTATAAATATAGAAATTCAAAATAATAGAACAAAAAGGTGGGCTTTCCAGAAGCACAGAAGGCAGTCTGTCAACTCAGTTGAAAATTTCAGATGCGTTATGGAAATGCTAACTCCTGAGCCAGTGACAAACTTACTAGGCTGTAAGTTCCATGAAGTTAGTGGTTATGTTCATCTTATTCACTGCTCTTCCCTGTGTGCCTGGAACAGTAGAGTACGTGTAATAAACATTTGTTGAATGAGTGGTTGAATAACTGATGAATGAAAGAATAAATGAAGCAGTGAGTCATTGGATGAAAGAGTCTTTGAGTAAACAAAGTAATGAATAAATGAATGAATTAGAATGTGACCAAGTACACATATGGGTGAACGGATCAAGAATGAGTTAATCAGTGACAGAATCAGTGATAAGTGAGTAAATGCATAATGAGTTGATGAACGGATGAGTTGATGAAGGAATGAAAATGTAAGTAAATAAATCGAAAAGCGAATGAGTGAGTGATGAATGGAGACATCATTTAGTGAAAGAATGAAAGACTAAGTTAATAGGTTGATGAGTCCACAAGTGGAGGAGTAAATGAATGAGCCACTGGATCCCTGAATGAGCACATGAATTAACAGATAAATGAAAGTTAATTCGTAATGAAGGAATAAATGAGTTAGCAAGTCCACATATGAATTAATCAATGAGTGAATGAGTCAATAAGTAAGTAAATGAATGAATGAATCTATTAATAAGTCAAGGAATGAATGAGAAATAATGAGTGAATAAATGAACAAATGAATGAATGAGGGAAAAATTGAGTAAATTAATGAATGAGTAAAGAATTAAATCAATGAATAAGACAATGAGTAAATGATTAGGTAACTGGATGGATGAATGAATAAATATATATTGGAGTCAATGAATAAAAGTATGAATTAGTGAGTACGTAAATGAATCAATAAATGAGTAGTTAATTGAGGAGTAAATTAACTTCTCTGTGAATGAATGAGTGAATGAACGAATGAGTCAATAAAGAGTGAATGAGTCAGTGATCCACATATGAAGCAATGAGTTAATGAATACACAATATGACTCCTTCCCTGATTGTTCCAAAGAATGTTAGCCTGGCCCTTAACCTCACAGCACATTATAAATACCTCAACTGGAGTACCCATCCCACTTTATCACCGGTGTTTGTTTACATGTCATCACTAAACTGATGAGCCTTTAGGGCCAGGAAGTGGGTCAGATTCTTCTCTGTATCTCCAGCGCCTGCCCAGCCCTGAGCCCAGTAGGTGCCCAGTAAATTACTGCTGGATGAATGAACAAATAGCTGAAAATATACTAGCTTTTGTGGAA